GGCACATGCCACCATGCCCAGCTAATGTTTTGTATTTTTAGTAGAGACGGGGTTTCACCGTGTTGACCAGGATGGTCTTGATCTCTTGACCTCGTGATCCACCCGCCTCGGCCTCCCAAAGTGCTGGGATTACAGGCGTGAGCCACCGCGCCCGGCCCTTGAAGATAGTTTACTACAAGCAATCCTTTTAGTTTCCAGGCTTCCAGCTGCATGGCAGAGTTTGCATGATCACAAAGATCTTGCCCTGCTCAGCCTGGCATAGGCTGGGCCATAAATTATGTCCCCCTTGAAGTGGAATGCATTTCTGGCACATAAACATGGCTGCCTGATGTCTCTTCTCAAACAAATGGGACTGTGCTCTATTCTCAACAAGTGTCAGAGATTCTTGTTTCTCTTCCTCTTGTTACTCTTTAGAAACCTCCAGCCTGGGATAGTCAGGCATGGACCATCCAGATACACATTGCTAAGATGCTTTCTGGCAGGCTCAGAAACCAGGACCATATGCCTGGCTAAGTGATGAGGGGGTCATACCACCTTGGCTCTTTTCACTGTACCCAAAAAGAAAGGAGGCTTTAGTAATGGAAGGATTGCTGCCAAAATCCTGTTTGCCCTTGCAGCTCTTAGAGAAAACAGCCATAGAATCCCAAAGCATCGGTACCAAGAGAGCCTGTAGAAACCATCTGGTCTAAGCTCCTGAGGCCCAGAAATAAGAATGACTTAACCCAAGCTGCACAGCCTCTTAGGTTTATCCCAGTCCAGTCCACTGTTACCCCCAGGAGGAGGTATTAGAATCTGAAGGGAGACAGGAATCCTAATCCTACTGCTCGGGGACTTGTCGACTGTCTATTGGCATTTCTGTGACATGATTTTCTACCAAGAAAAGTCTTTTATTCAAGTCTCCCAGAGATTCCTATTTAAGCATTTGCCATTTGGCAACTTAAAAGTAATGGAAGAAAGTAAACAGAAGCATATACCACACAGCTCAGTCCAGCCAGTAGTTGACTCTCAAGATGGCAGATGTCACTGAGATGACTAAGAAATAGGAACAAATGTAGAGAAGGAATGGCAGAGGAGTTAGCTGTTTTGTCTACCTACTGGATACCTGGGAAGTCAGACTCTGTGCGGACCAGTGATCCCTAGTCATAGGCACCTTTGCCTGTGCTGTCATCAGTGTTCATGGAGAACTGCTTCTCACCTTGAGAAATCACTCTTCTTCATGCTTTTAGGTACAAGAAGAGAGGACTGAGATGAGGGTAGGCTTCTTTTCCATAATTACAGTGTCTTGATCAAAAGTCTATATTAGTGAGATTTTCTAAAAGACTCAGCTTTTTAAAAATTAGAATTTCTGTACTTCGGAGCTAGGATATATAAATGAGAAAACTGCGAACCAAAGAGGAGACCATATATTTTTGGTTGATTGCAAGTTATAAGACCCTAACTCCAACAAGCAAAGCAAATGGGGGTTTTATTAGAAAGATACGCTGAGCTTTCTAACAGAATCAAAGGAAGAGGTGATCAGCCAAACTTCAAGAAATAAGCATCAGGGTCTGGAAAACAATAGACCACACCCTTTCTCACTTTATGTCTCTGCTTCCCTCTGCCTAATGGCTTTGTTTTCTCTTACTAGAGACCAGAATTTACACAGGTGTTGAGGATAGGCCATCACAGTTTTAGACCTCATATCTTCACATATTTGCCACTCAAATGGAAAAAGAAGAGGTCCCACTTTTTAATAAAAATCTTAGGGAAGGATTCTGATGGGCCCTGCTTGATCACATGCTCCCTTTATTGACAGTCTTCACTAGAATCACTTGGTTTGGGAGAGGGAGTAGTAGTACTACAAAAGAAAAAACAAGGAAGAGGTGATAGCTAATTATTACAGGAAATGATTTACCCGAGATCCTATGGTAAGTTAGGAGCAGATTCAGGGCTAGAAACAGAATATTATTATTATTATAGTATTAATAATAATGGAAGTCTCTGAATTCTCTGTTTCTTTCCTTTTTTTTTTTCTTTTTGAGGGGGGGCAGGGTCTTGCTCTGTCACCCAGGCTGGAGTGGCATGGTGATACAATCATGGTTCACTATATTCTTGACCTCCAGTGCTCAAGCAATCCTCCCACCTCAGCCTCCCAAGTAGCTGGGACTACAGGTGCAGGCCACCATGCCCGGCTAATTTTTTGTAGAGACAGGGTTTTACCATCATGCCAAGGCTTGGATTGTTTTCATGTGTGGTACTGAAGTAAACCTCAGTGTTACTGAGCTATTCATTTATTAAGATTTTTAAGAGATTGCATTGAGACTGGACATGGTGGCTCATACTTACAATTCCAGTGACTCAGGGGGCCAAGGCAAGAGGATTGCTTGAGGCCAGAATTTGAGACCAGCTTGGGCAACACAGCAAAACCCTGTCTCTACCGTATACATATAAAACATTGCTCCTGTGTGGAGAATGGAATAGAGGGGAGTAATTATGTGAGTAGGGAAACGTTAGACATTAGGAACTCCTATGGTAGCTCTCTAGGGGAGAAAACAATGGTGGCCTGGACCAAGGTCATGTCAATGAAAATGGAGAAAAGTGATCAGATTTGAGATACAGTTAGAAGTAAAACCCCAGGACCTGCCACTAGATTAGACGAGGAGGCTAAAAAAAGAGAAAAATCAAAGAATTAAGGATGGCACCTAGTTTTCTGCGAAGACTGGGGTTCAAACAAGTTTGGGGCAGAATCAAGAGTTTCAATTTGGACATGTTAAGTTTGAGACATGAAAATGTCCAGCAGGGACTTAGCTACATGTTATTATCAAAGGCTTGGCATCTAAAGCCTTGGGACTAGACAAGTACGTTAAAGAAGGAAGGAAATACAGTTAGAACAGAAGGCGTAACTGTTCTTGGAGCCATCTCTTTTGCATATACTGAATCTTTCTGCTGGGCTTCTGGCCAGGAGCTTCAGGTAGGAATTACAACCATTATCTATGGTGAATCCTGTGCAACAAGAAGCCAGATTTGTCCCTCAGGGATAACTAAGAAGTAACCAAATGGACTGTTTAACAAGAACAAAACTTCTTCATCTAGATGTGTCTTGATTCCTCCAAAGTAAATCCTTTGGATAACTACTAAACAAATGATAAGAACTAAACCAATGTTAAGACTGCCCTGCCCTAAATGATTTTGGCACTTGTCTTTGGTGATATCATCAGAGCCATGTTTTAAGATCCTAAGACATCTACCAGAGTTTCAGAGGACTGAGGGTTCTTTCCATGGTAGGTTGAAAAGTTGGCTACTGTATTTTATAGCTCCACCCATCAAGAGATGGCATCTATTTTTTTTCTTTTTTTTTTAGATCAGTATTTATATCTCATAGACTAGTCTTTTGCATGTACTTCCAGCCACAGGATACTACTTGATTCCCCAGCTGCAGCAGGAAATTGGGTGAAGGCTTGGGACAGGGAATCTGAAATCAATGAGATCCCAGGACACTGATTATTGTAGTTACTTCCCCCAAACTGTTGGCAAACAAAGTCAAACAAACATTCCTCAGGACACTCCAGGAAACTCAATATCCAAGTAAGGAGCTTAGCGGCAGGCAGGAGCAGGTGATATGAGTTGGGGAGTTAGGTCTGGAGGATGGTCTTACAATTCTGTGGATGTTATAAGGCTTCAGTCACCAAGCAATTGTGGTTATTTATTTAACTGAGGTTGTTCAACTCTAAGAATCCTTGGGAGTCTGGTACTACCAGAGGGTATACCCTATCTACCCTTCTTCTAAGACAATCTGAAGAAAAAAATTTGAAAGAGCATGAGTCAGAGGAGGGTTCAAATGATACTAGTGGGGTGACTTGAGCATGTTAACTTTTCCAGGGCTGTTTCCATGACTGCCAAATTGGAATAATAGTATTTTAGAGGCAGCACCTCCATTAGATCATAAGGACCTTGCAGGCAGGGATCATTTCTTTTTTTTTTTTTTTTTTTGAGACGGAGTTTCACTCTTGTTACCCAGGCTGGAGTGCAATGGTGCGATCTCGGCTCACCGCAACCTCCGCCTCCTGGGTTCAGGCAATTCTCCTGCCTCAACCTCCTGAGTCGCTGGGATTACAGGCACGCGCCACCATGCCCAGCTAATGTTTTGTATTTTTAGGAGAGACGGGGTTTCACCATGTTGACCAGGATGGTCTCGATCTCTTGACCTCGTGATCCACCCGCCTCGGCCTCCCAAAGTGCTGGGATTAACAGGCTTGAGCCACCGCGCCCGGCGGATCATTTCTTTTCATCTGTACTTTCCTAGTGCTTAATAATGCTAGGCCCTAGCTGATACTCAAATAGCTAAGTGTCTTCTTAGAGGTGGTCCAGGACCTAGTCCTGGCTCCACCACTGAGGTACTCTCAGAGTAATTAGGAGATTTCCTTCAACTCCCTGAATGTCAACCTTCCTTTCTATAAAATAGGAGCCTGAAACAGATCTTCTCTAAGCTCCTTTCCAGACCTACTAATCAATGAGTCTATGACCATTCAGTACACTCTACCCCACTGCTGCTCCTAGAAGTTAATAATGCTACAGACTGAGGACACAATAAGTCACGAATCACTTTATATTTACAGATACACATGCACTTCAAACAGATTCTGTAAACAACCACGATACTGTATTGTACTTTTGGTCCACTTTTGCCTCTTTAGAAATCAAAAGGGTTTTTTTTCTTTCTTTTTTTTTTCTTTTTGAGACAGAGTCTTGCTCTGTTACCCAGGCTGGAGTGCAATGGCACAATCTTGGCTCACTGCAATCTCCACCTCCCAGGTTCAGGTGATTCTCCTGCATCAGCCTCCCAGTAGTTGAGATTACAGGTGCCCACCACCATGCCTGGCTAACTTTTGTATTTTTAGTAGAGATGAGGTTTCACCATGTTGGCCAGGCTGGTCTTAAACTGCTTACCTCAGGTGATTCGCCAGCCTTAGCCTCCCAAAGTGCTTGGATTATACACATGAGCCACCATGCCCGGCCAGAAGTCAAGAGTTTTTAAATCTTTTATTTGAATTGTTTAGGAAGATTAAATCCAAGATAAGTTGCCACTAACACACATTATGCGGCTTGAACCTTGGTGGCTAATTGCGCTATTACCGTGATTGATGAACACTATGCTGCAATCAGCTGAGCTGCTGCCTTTCACTCGACAGAAATGAGGTCGCAGACAGGGCTGGGGAGCTGCCATCTCACAAGCATGTCTGGTTGTCTGTTGCCCAGTAGAAGAGCTTGCCACTATAACATTTAACTCTTGATTCCATCTATTGTGAAGATGCTTGTTCCCTTGAACTGGCTCCTGAATTTTACAGAATTTGACAGTTTTAAAGAAAAATATTGGATCTTTGCCTGGATATTCAGTAAGAGAGAAAAGATTATTGGATATAGATACTAAAATATCCAGTGGTCATGAGGACCTTGGTCTGAAATCTTAGTACTAGATGAGTATTAATGATCAGAAAAAAATAGTAATTATCCATGACACAGTGTCACATCCAGAACTACTGCCCTGTGAAGCAACTATATTCTACTCATGGTCAGAAAAGTTAATCAAGTCACTCTTCACAAATGCCCCATTGCTGGAGCTTGGAGGCTGTTCGAAGTGGAGCATGGAAACTCCCACTGCTTGGGAGCCTGTTAAGTGTTGCCTGGCAAAGGCAAATACAAGGAGAGCCAGCCCTGGGCTTTTCTACCTAGGCCCATGGGATCTGGTTGCCTCAGAGACTAACTTGCCTTTCCTGAGCATCAGACATCCATCACCTCAGATTAGTCTGAGTAGTTGAGCAATTTGTTAACAGATTAGAGATTTAAGTCTTTTCTCCATTGGACTTGGAATCTGATGGCCCTGGAATTGAATCCTAATGTGGCTTTAACTCTCTCGGTATGTGATCCAAGTCTCATAACCTCTCTGGATCGTAGTTTGTCTATAAAAGATGCATCCCAGAATGTGGTTAAGAGCACAGACCCTGGAGCCCACTGCCGGGATTTGAACTCCAGCTTTACCATTTACTTATGATGTGACTTTAGAGGTCAGGCTAGAACCACTTTGTACCTTTATTTCCTCATCTTTAAATGAGGCTCAATTTAGTGCCTCCCTCATAAGATGCTGGGAAGATAAATGAGTTGCTGCATATAAAATGCTTGGAACAATTTCTAGCACAGAGTAAGCAAGACATCAGTGTTAGCCAAGCTAACACTGGGATGCCAATCCTGATCTCTCAGGTTTGTTTGGTGGATCAACTGAAATGGTGAAGGTGAAAAAAAAGAGTCACCAAGTTATTAGTGCCAAAAGGGACCTTAAAGATCATCCAAATAAGCTCTTTCATTTTATAAGTAGGAAATCAAGACTCAAAGATGGGAAGTAACTGGCCCAGAGTCACAGTCGATTTAATGAGAGTCCAGATCTCCAAGCCCAAAGCTCTGTTCTCAGCATGGCATCAAAGAAAGCAACATCTTTTGTAGAGCTGACTCTGGATGGTTCTTTAAAAAAGAGAGAGAGAGACAGACTGGAGTGTAGTGACATGATTACAGTTCACTGCAACCTCAAACTCCTGGACTCAAGCAATCCTCTTGCCTCAGCCTCCCAAGTAGCTGGGACTACAGGTGTGTACCACATCTGGCTAATTTTTTTTTTTGTAGGGATGGAATTTCACCATAGTGACCAGGCTGGTCTCGAACTCCTGGCCCCAAATGATCCTCCTGCCTTGGCTTTCCAAAGTGCTGGGATTACAGGTGTGAGCCACAGCCGCCCTCGATGGTCCTTTTTAGTCTTTGGACTGGTTGCTAGTTAATGTATTTTTCTAAGCCAATGAGCCTCATTTGAAATGAAGAGAAAACTGGGGAGAGACTCCCCCTGCCACTGACTTTTCAGGTGGCTGAGGATTCAGGCCATGATTAAGAAGAAAGATTTTCTGGAATCATTGCCAGTTCCATGTCATTATTTCCAGCCAAAACCAAATATGTCCCTGTGGCCAAGCAAGCTAGAATAATGAGACAATCCATTCTGGTCTCTGAGTTTCTTTTCTTTTTTTCCTCAGGTGTTTAATTAAGGGTTTCCACCAGAATTGGTTTCCCGTGCTCTCTGGTAAAAGCTAAGGTTTCACTCCCAGGAGAATGGGGTTGGGCTCAGGACCTCTGAGTTCAATTTTCTCAACTTTTTCAGGGTCATGATACCTTAGATTTACTTTTCTTTGAATTGTACTTCTCAATTAGACTGCTCAAGAGCAATTAAAAGACAGATTGGAGTCAAGGGGCAGGATGGAGAGAAGACCCTATGGAGAATAGCAGGTGGAATTATAGAGGTATTTGACCTAGAGAAAAGGTGAATCCCAGGAGCCATGATTCCTGTTCTCAAGTAGTCTGAGGGTGTCACAGGGCAGAGGGAGCAGAGACTGTGAAGTCTCTAATAGCAGAGCTGGTACCAATAGGGTGGGAAGAAGAAGAATTTCCAGGAGGCAGATTTGAGCTTGAAGGAAGGAAAACATTCTATGAGAGTTGACCAAGATGGTGTGGAAAATGAGCTCCTGTACCTGCCTAGAAGGTGTGCTGTAGAAGAAAGAGATTTGGTTGTTAGGCTTGACAGTCACTTCTCAGAAAAAGGAAAGTTAGAATTGACTAGTCAGACTAGGTAAATTTGGGAATCCCATCAACTCTAAAATCCTCAGGTTCCAGGAGTCTAAGAATCAATAACCAATTTCACTAAGTTCCCACAGTTAAGAACCCACTGGAAAAGCAGCAATCTGTTTCTTGATCTTGCCTGTGTTTCTCTTTTTCTTTTTCTCTTTCTCTTTGTCTTTCTTAAGCTTACTTGCCTACTCTTTCATATAACAGGAACTTCTGACATTTTGCAGGAGATAATCTTTTTCTCTTAAATGTGTTTCTGACTCAGCCTTTACGCCATCAGCATCATTAGAGAATCTGAGCTCTCTAAAGATTAGCTCTGCCTGTCACCACAGCAACTGCCCAGGCCCTGTGGGCATCTGTGGTAACAGGCACAGGTCTTTGAGAGCCCAAGCTTTACTTGTAGTGAGCGAAAGCCCCACAGGGAGCCCAATATGAAACAAGCACGCTGTGCTTTGGGAAGTTATCTTTAATAGGATTAGCTATGCAGGCAAGCCTCACTTTACACAACTGGCCTGCCCCTGAAGAGTGTGTGTGTGTCAAATCTTGATAAATGGAGGAACTATTATTTTAAAAGCAGAGAAGAGACTGCTTTCTAAGTCCCTGTAGTGGATCCCCTTCATAAAACAGAGTCTTTTTTTGTAAAGTGAATCTCCACCTGTGTAGTGACCTGTTCTGTTCGTCTAGTGCTGAGTATCTATTACTGGGACCATCTGCAGAAAACCCCAGGGGCAGGCAAAGAATAGCAGCGATTCATCTTCCTCAGGTCTGAGAGTGGACAGTGTGTAACAGAGAGAAGCAGACTGGGTATGGGGCCACAATGAGGGGAGGTCAGGAAGGTGGGCCTTGCCTAGCATGAGCAGTTCTGCTGCAGCAGTGGCGGGGTGTCCGAGAGACGCGTGTTCTTGGAGGAGCCCAGCATCGAGGGGTCTGTGTCCATTGAATCAGACATCTTGTCGCAAATGGCATCCACCAGGCGCTCAAAGGCCTGCCTTACACTGATGTTCTCCTTTGCACTGGCTTCAAAGAAATCAAACCCTGGAAAGAGAAGAGGTAAAGATAAGGACTTTTCCCATCCCTTCTGCTGGAACCCTTCTGTGCCCTCAGCCCAAGCACTCTGGATTAACGTGTCCGGTGCTCAGGAGTGAAGCAAAGAGGCCCAATTCCATGAGCAGGGGATTCTGCCTCAAGGAGACGGTACAGGGCAAGAGTTTCCTGTTCTGGTCTTACAGTCAGACTGATCCTAGCTCTAACATTGCCCAGCTGTTTAATTCTGGGCCAAGTCATTTATTCTCTTTACAAATCAATTTCCTGGTTTGTAAAAAGGATAATTCTACCTACCTCATAGAGTTATTTCAAGGATTAGACAAGACAATGTATGTAAAATGTATAGCCCTGTGCCTGACACAGAGGAGGTCATTAGTGTTTGCTGACAGAGCAAATGCATAAATGTGTGTGCACAGGACTTCATAGTTTCCAACCCACTTATCACATCGATTATTTTATTTGATCTTCATGTTGCCCCTGAGGAAGGAGTGTCAGTCAGATTCTCTCCACTTCACTAATGCAAACACTGGCTTACATTAAGCTACCTTGACCAAGATAAAGAAAGGCACCAGTATGAGAAGCCTTAGTTTTGGACTTTTTCACAGGGATTTTCCTCCTCCTTCCCCTGCCTCTCATTCCCCCTAGGCTGGCCAATTCTGGTCTGGGCTCTGGGAGCCACCTCAAGATTCACACTGAATAAGTCTTCTTTGCCCTTTCCACCCATAGCCACACTGGTTTATTTCCACACAGTGGGGTTCCTCCTCTCTGAATTCCACGGAAATGATCCAATAGATCTCACTCTGCCTCCACAAACCCAACAAAAGGCCCAGGGAAAACTACATCCAAGGTGTGCAACATTCTTGTCTATTTTGTATCTTGAAATCCTTAGCAACACTTTCTGTGATGAACAGAACTTGGTTGTCCAAAGAGACACAGCAAAGGCTCTCCTGATTCAAAAAGGCTGCTTTCCACCCGAGGAATCTTGGTCAGCTTGGTGGCAGCCCTTAGAAGCAAAAGTGGCCCTCTTTATCAGTCCCTGGCCCTCTCTCCCACTTCTCTTGTCTGTCTGCCTTCTTCTTTCCCTTCTTTCAGAGGTTTTCCCCTGTGTTCCTTGTACTTTCTCCTTGGGATTTCTAATATCTTTGGGGCAAATACTATATGCCAGACACTATGCTAGGAACTTTACTGATACCATCTTCTTTAATCCTCACAACAACCTGTTGGGTAAATAACATTATCTCCATTTTTTAAATGAGAATATGAAAGACTATGTAACTCACACAAAGTAATGTGGCTGTATTAGTGGAAACTGGGTTTAGGTCTGGGTTTGGCTGTCTCCAAAGTCCACACACAACTCTGCCTCTCATTTCTTCCTCTTTTTCTCTTTCCTTTGCTTTTTTTTTTTTTTTTTTTTTTTTTTTCTGATTACACCTTTTTCTTCCTTTACAAGTCTTTTGGCCTCCTCTGCTTTAATCCAACTAACAGTGCCTGAGTCTGGGCAAGTCACTTCACCTCTCTGCTCACTTAACCTTTCTAATTCTCAGACTCCTTGTTGTCAAATAAGAAAAACAACAGTGTCTTCTTACCAAGAGCAGGTGGGAGGATTGAGTGAGATGATGAATACAGTGCTGTAACAAGTGGCCTGTTATAAAGACAGTTTATTTCCGTTCTTTCATCTTGTTCCTCCCACCTCCTCTCCATCTCTTTCTCCCTCTTTTATCATCTTCTCTAACACAGGAGGGATCTCTTTTCCCTCCTTTTTTCTCCCTATTATTCCACCTTCCACAGAAGGGCTGAAGCCCCCAGGTATAAACAAGGCCCCTCTTTTCCCAGCCTTCCTAGCTGGAAGGCATATGCTGTTCCTGCCAGCCCACCTGCAGCTGACAGCCTCTCTCCTGTGGCCCATTTCCTGACCTGAGAAAGACAAGCAGCAGAAGTGCCTGCTAATTGTGGACATGTGATAAAGAAAGAGGCAGTTGCTGGCTCATTATCCTCAGGCCATAGAAACTCAGCTTCAGAGATTCTCCAGCATATTGTTTTTCCATAATGAACACCACAAAAAAGGACCCCCCATTGTTTGACTGCCTTATTGCAAATGGCAGTGTTTGGGGAGGTGCAGGCAGTGTATTGCTTACCTAGAAAAGAGACAGGTAAATAAGTAAATAGGTTTTCAGTTCAGATGAAGATGAGGACACAGTTCAAGGTCAGGAGCACAAATCCCTTGTGAGGAAGTGGCACTGAGGGGAGGACATGCTGCATTGTACAGAGGGCAGCTACTAGCTGTGTGTTCTTGGGTAATTGCTCCCAGTCTCTGTTTCCTCATCTGTAGAATGAAGTGAATATTACCTACCCCATAGGATGGTAATAATAATTAAATCCACAAAAGTATCTGAATACATGGCAACTGTCTTTCCTATATGTTCCTGGCCCACCTTAGTCCCAGCTTCCTTGTACCTCTATTGTCTCCCAGGGCCTTTGAGTAAATCTCTTTGTCTTCATCACTTAGAGTCAATCAATAAGCCAGGTATTTTTATTTTATTTATTATTTATTTATTTTGAGAGACGGAGTCTTGCTCTGTCACCCAGGCTGGAGTGCAGTGGCATTATCAGCTCACTGCAACCTCTGCCTCCCAGGTTCAAGTGATTCTCCTACCTCAGCCTCCCGAGTAGCTGGGATTACAGGCACCTGCCACCATGCCCGGCTAATTTTTGTATTTTTAGTGGAGACGAGTTTCACCATGTTGGCCAGGCTAGTCTGGAACTCCAAACCTCAGGTGATCCACCCACCTCAGCCTCCCAAAGTGCTGGGATTACAGGCATGAGCCCCCACACCTGGCCCACCGGGTCTTTATTGAACACTGACTTTGTGCCATGTCTTGTGTTGAGTGTTAGAGATACAGGGAGATCAAATATAGTTGTGGAAAAGACACACTAATAAAGGCATCGGTTTCTCACACCTGCAGTTCACATTAACAGTTCACAAATACAAAAACAACCATGTGAGTGGAGTTGGGCAAGGCAAGCATTATCACTCGTAATTGGCAGACAGGAAAACAGACTCAGAGATGGGCCAGGGATCTGTCCCTTATGCCTCCTTGTCTCACTGTCACTTGGAACAGTGACAGAACAAGCTGTAACATTCTAACCCAGGTAGAGGAAACCAGAGGCCATGCAGGGATGCAGGAGAGGGAGAGGCTGGCAGGGAAGGAGAGGAGGAGGAAGCTTCTTGAAATTAGTGAGGATGTGAGCCTTTAAAGTCTGAACTCAGGCCAGGCATGGTGGTTCACGCCTGTAATTCCAGCAGTTTGAGAGGCCAAGGCTGGTGGATCACTTGAGGTCAGAAGTTTGAGACCAGCCTGGACAACACGGTGAAACCCCGTCTCTACTAAAAATACAAAAATTAGCTGGATGTGGTGGTGCACACCTGTAATCCCAGCTATTCGGGAGGCTGAGGCAGGAGAATTGCTTGAACCTGGGAGGTGGAGGTTGCAGTGAGCCAAGATTGAGCCATTGCACTCCAGTGGGTGACAGAGTGAGACTCTGTCTCAAAAAAGACAAGAAAAGAAAAGAAAAGGAAGAAAAGAAAAGAAAGAAAGAAAACAGAACTGAGCAAAATTGGCTAGATGCCAGTGGCTCAAGCCTGGAATCCCAGTGCTTTGGGGGTGCCAAGGCAGGAAGATTGCTTAAGGCCAGGTGTTCAAGACCATAAATAAATGAATATGTAAATATTAAATTAAATTAAATTAAAAAGAATTAAGTAAAACTCTTCACCTAACTTCTCATTCTTCAGGACTCAGCTTACATATAGTGTCTTCATTCTCCTCTGTGCTTCCTTCTGCATGACAGAAGTCCATGTAGACAGGGAGCTCCCCAAACAGGGACTATGTCATTCTGAGCCCCTGCACCAGCTGGAAGAGTAGGTGCTTAGTGAATGTTGGTAGAATGAATAGTTGAATTAAGGAGGTGGGAATGAGCACAGAGGGTGTGGTTGAGGGGATACTGATAGTGTGGGTCATGAAAGCTCAGCTCAACAAGCACAGCAGACCCTGTGCTGGGCACTGGGGACAGTGAGTTGAATCAGACACAGCCCCTACCTTTGAGTAGCCCCTAGTCTATTGTGGAAGATAGACACTTTGATAATATTTAGGGTAATAAGTGTTGAAATGGAGAGAAGCCAGGGGATTGTCAGGGCACAGAGAAAGCATCTCACTAAGCCTGGAGACCAGGGAAGGTTTCTTGGAGAAGCAAATGCTTAAGCAGATATCTGCTAGACAAAGACATGTCACTGTGAGTGTACGGGTGAGCACAGGCGTGTCTAGCACAGCACAACAGGGAGGGGAGACAGCGTGAGCACAGATAAGGGGGCAAAAACCAGCCTTGGGCTACGCCAAAAGAGTCACAGCAGTTATCCTTAGAGCAGAAAACCTTAAGTGGTGGGAAATGAGTCAGTAGGACGCCAAACAGGGGGAGCTCCTGTGTCATGCCAAGGAGATGTCTTTACTGTCATCTCAAAGGTACCCAGAGTGTGAGAACTCTGACTCAAGTTACCAATTCATGGGTCTAGCCATCTCAAGGGCCTCTTTTGCTTAGCAGAATAACCCCAAATGCACCCCACTCAATTACTGTCAGATTCCTGAAATAGTCTTCATTAGCAGGTCCAGATGGTAACCTTTTCCTCAGGTTCATTAATAAGGATTCTTAGGAGCTGAGAATCTAGTGAGGCCAGGAAGATGACAACCAATTAACCAGACTAGCCCCCAGTCCTTCCTTTTTTTCTCCTAATTGGCTTCAGAACAATGACATTTCTGCTGTCTTTAATGGGGCTCAATTCTTAACTGAATTTGAGCTGTTCCTCCACCCCCCAAAATGAGAAGCCAGGGGATTATCACGTTTATCTATTCTGTCCAAAGGCAGCTGTCACAGACCCATAGATTGCATCCACGCTGCCTGCTTCTGAATATGACCTCAGAATTCTACTCAGAAACTTGCCA